CTCCCTGGTCTCTCCCTGGTCTCTCCCTGGTCTCTCTCTCTGGTCTCTCTCTGGTCTCTCTCTGGTCTCTCTCTGGTCTCTCTCTGGTCTCTCTCTGGTCTCTCTCTGGTCTCTCCCTGGTCTCTCCCTGGTCTCTCTCTGGTCTCTCCATGGTCTCTCTCTGGTCTCTCTCTGGTCTCTCCCTGGTCTCTCTCTGGTCTCCCTCTGGTCTCTCTCTGTTCTCTCTCCCTGGTCTCTCTCTGGTCTCTCTCTGGTCTCTCTCTCTGTTCTCTCTCCCTGGTCTCTCTCTGGTTTCCCTCTGGTCTCTCTCTCTGGTCTCTCGCTGGTCTCTCCCTGGTCTCTCTCTGGTTTCTCTCTGGTCTCTCCCTGGTCTCCCTCTGGTCTCTCTCTCTGGTCTCTCTCTAGTTTCTCACTGGTCTCTCTCTGGTCTCTCCCTGGTCTCTCTCTGGTCTCCCTCTGGTCTCTCTCTCTGGTCTCTCTCCCTGGTCTCTCTCTGGTCTCTCTCTGGTCTGTCTCTGGTCTCTCCCTGGTCTCTCTCTGGTCTCTCTCTGGTCTCTCTCTGGTCTCTCCCTGGTCTCTCGCTGGTCTCTCTCTGGTCTCTCCCTGGTCTCTCTCTGGTCTCTCTCTGGTCTCTCTCTGGTCTCTCTCTCTGGTCTCTCTCTGGTCTCTCTCTGGTCTCTCTCTGGTCTCTCTCTCTGGTCTCTCTCTGGTCTCTCTATGGTCTCTCTCTGGTCTCTCTCTTTGCCTATGGTTGGGTTGCGGGTTTGAGCTGAGATTAAATCTGAGGATGTGGAATAAAAACTGCTGCGTCTGGAACTGGATTTAGATTTATTCTGGATTTATGATTATTAGCGGTCGTTCGGCGCAGCAGTGGAATGAGTCACAAATCTCTCTGATACAATCATACAATCATTTTTAGCATTTTAGTAAAAGTAGTAGGTTGTCCTTTCATACAGACTTTAAATCTGGGTTAAAGAAAATATCTCTTTAATAAAATCTTAGTCACTCGCTCCTCTCTCAAAACAATTTGCTTTTGTCAGTAGATTTCACATGCTCTCTCTGGTCTCTCTCTGGTCTCTCTCTCTGGCCTCTCTATGGTCTCTCTCTGGTCTCTCTCTCTGGCCTCTCTATGGTCTCTCTCTGGTCGCTCTCTGGTCTCTCTCTGGTCTCTCTCTGGTCTCTCTCTAGTCTCTCTCTAGTCTCTCTCTGGTATCTCTCTCTGGTCTCTCTCTCTGGTCTCTCTCTCTGGTCTCTCTCTGGTCTCTCTCTCTGGTCTCTCTCTCTGGTCTCTCTCTCTGGTCTCTCTTGTCTCTCTCTGGTCTCTCCCTGGTCTCTCTCTCTGGTCTCTCCCTGGTCTCTCTCTCTGGTCTCTCTCTGGTCTCTCTCTGGTCTCTCTTTGGTCTCTTTCTGGTCTCTCCCTGGTCTCTCTCTCTGGTCTCTCTGGTCTCTCTCTGGTCTCTCTCTTGTCTCTCTCTTGTCTCTCTCTTGTCTCTCTCTAGTCTCTCTCTGGTATCTCTCTCTGGTCTCTCTCTCTGGTCTCTCTCTCTGGTCTCTCTCTCTGGTCTCTCTCTCTGGTCTCTCTCTCTGGTCTCTCTCTGGTCTCTCCCTGGTCTCTCTCTCTGGTCTCTCTCTGGTCTCTCTCTGGTCTCTCTTTGGTCTCTTTCTGGTCTCTCCCTGGTCTCTCTCTCTGGTCTCTCTGGTCTCTCTCTGGTCTCTCTCTTGTCTCTCTCTTGTCTCTCTCTGGTCTCTCTCTGGTCTCTCTCTCTGGTCTCTCTCTGGTCTCTCTCTCTCTCTGGTCTCTCTCTCTGGTCTCTCTCTCTGGTCTCTCTCTGGTCTCTCTCTCTCTCTGGTGACTCTCTCTGGTCTCCCTCTGGTCCCCTTCCACAGACCACACAAAGCACTTTACATTTATCCCTCACTCACACACATGTTTTTAGTGGTAGGGGAAATCGGAGTACCCGGAGGAAACCTACGCAGACACGGGGAGAACATGCAAACTCCACTCAGAAAGGCCCTGGTCCGACCGGGATTCAAACCCAGGACCTTCTTGCTGAGAGGCGAGAGTGCTAACCACTCAGCCACCGTGCCGCCCAGTGAGGGAAAGACCAGAGAGAGAGACCACAAAGAGACCAGAGCGAGACCAAAGAGAGACCAGAGAGAGTCCTAACAGAGACCAGAGAGACACCAGATGTAAAGACCAGAGAGAGAAACTAGAAGGAGACACCAGAGAGAGACAAGAAGGACAGCGGAACGAGACCAAATAGAGAGACTAGTGAGAGAGAGAAACCAGAAAGAGACCAGAGAGAGAGAGAGAGACCAGAGAGAGAGAGAGACCCAATGATATTCAAGCAGAAATGACATTAAGCGAGTGAGATTGGAGATTTGTGGCACAATTCCAGACTGAAATAGAGGCTGCCGTCCTCCACATCGGAGCCTATTTGTGGGTAATAGTCTGAGCGCAGATCCCCATAGCTCCACTCGCTCCTCTCCGTCTCTTTACCCAGACAGAGCAGCCCCGAGCGGGGAGGGGAGCACACAGAAGCCCCCGGGTGAAAATGAGATTTCTGTGGACGACTTGGTCAAATTGGCTGTCAGAGAGAAGCAGGTGTGAGGCACACGGGAGGCAGCCCAGAATACAGCATCTATCAACCTCTGCCATTTGTGTTGGGAGATTCAGATTCAGCTTATTTGCCGTTTGCAGTAAAACCACATTGGAATAAATGTGCAAGAGTAAGGGCATGAACAAAGCAAGCTAAAAACAAATCAGCAAAAACAGCTTCAGTGCAAAGTAATTGAAGTGCTTTGTTCAGACTGAGAATAGCTGAAAGAAGCGTGTTAGCATGTTAGCATTTCCAGATGTCCTGCATCTCAGCGAACGATATCTTCTGCCTGAGGGAAGGAGCTGGAACATGGTCTTTCCAGGGGCCAGACGAGTCATTGATTATTCTAAGTGCTGGATTTAAGGACCGTCCAGAAGAGACAGCTCTGTCCCCTTTCAGAGCGGAGTCTCTTTCTCTGGTCTCTCTCTGGCCTCTCTCTGGTCTCTCTCTGGTCTCTCTCTGGTCTCTCTCTGGCCTCTCTCTGGCCTCTTTCTGGTCTCTCTCTGGTCTCTCTCTCTGATCTCTCTCTGGCCTCTCTCTGGTCTCTCTCTGGTCTCTCTCTGGTCTCTCTCTGGTCTCTCTCTCTGGTCTCTCTCTCTGGTCTCTCTCTGGTCTCTCTCTGGTCTCTCTCTGGTCTCTCTCTGGTCTCTCTCTCTGGTCTCTCTCTGGTCTCTCTCTGGTCTCTCTCTGGTCTCTCTCTGGTCTCTTTCTAGTCTCTCTCTCTCTGGTCTCTCTCTGGTCTCTCTCTGGTCTCTCTCTCTCTGGTCTCTACAGTAGCCTGCAGAACAAGTACTTACCATAAACTTTATTTATTCCCACTCTCTGCAAACATCACCGGCTTCTATAAAACTTCTTTCGTCTCTTTCCTTTCTCCGCTCATTAGCTGCTCCTGTGCTAGCCCGCCTCCAAACCAGATAATCGGGCTAACGACCCTGTTCCGCCATAACCATCCATTCCAGGCCATAACCATCCATTCCAGGCCATAACCATCCATTCCAGGCCATAACCATCCATTCCAGGCCATAACCATCCATTCCAGGCCATAACCATCCATTCCAGGCCATAACCATCCATTCCAGACCATAACCATCCATTCCAGGCCATAACCATCCATTCCAGGCCATAACCATCCATTCCAGGCCATAACCATCCATTCCAGGCCATAACCATCCATTCCAGGCCATAACCATCCATTCCAGGCCATAACCATCCATTCCAGGCCATAACCATCCATTCCAGGCCATAACCATCCATTCCAGGCCATAACCATCCATTCCAGGCCGCGGCCCCTGTTCCCCTTTCGCCTCCTCGTGCATGTAAATAAGTGCACGTTTTCTCTGGGGATATATTTCAGCGCACGTTAGTCTTGCTTTGCATGTTATTGATTCCTCGCCGCCGCGGTCGGTGTCAAAGGGAACAGGAAAAATGGCCGAACCTCCGCCCCGCGCGCTTCCCTCCATCTGTTTACATGATGCTAATGACTACTGCGCGAGGAAGCCGCTAGCAAGAAGCACGCGGCGGATATCTGACGAGGAAGCTAGAACGAGAGAGCGCAACGCAGGCCTGAAGCTGCAAGAACCGCTGGATCGAGGAGGAAAAGGGCCGCTATCGTCAAACTGAGAGAGAGCGGAGAGACTAGAGAGAGAGCGGAGAGACTAGAGAGAGAGAGAGAGAGAGACTAGAGAGAGAGAGAGAGAGACTAGAGAGAGAGAGAGATAGACTAGAGAGAGAGAGCAGAGAGACTAGAGAGAGAGAGAGCAGAGAGACTAGAGAGAGAGACTAGAGAGAGAGCAGAGAGACTAGAGAGAGAGACTAGAGAGAGAGCAGAGAGACTAGAGAGAGAGCAGAGAGACTAGAGAGAGAGACTAGAGAGAGAGCGGAGAGACTAGAGAGAGAGAGAGAGAGACTAGAGAGAGAGCAGAGAGACTAGAGAGAGAGCAGAGAGACTAGAGAGAGAGACTAGAGAGAGAGAGAGAGAGACTAGAGAGAGAGAGAGACTAGATAGAGAGAGAGCAGCAATAGACTAGAGAGAGAGAGAGCAGAGAGACTAGAGAGCCGAAAGAGAGACTAGAGAGAGAGCAGCAATAGACTAGAGAAAGACTAGAGAGAGAGAGAGCCGAAAGAGAGCAGAGAGAGACCAGAAAGCAAGTGGAAAAAGGAAGTAGAGAGAGAGATGAGAGAGACGAGAGAGAGACCAGAAAAAGAGCGGAGAGAGAGACCAGAGTTCTACGTTAGTTCTGAGTCAGATTCTGAGCTGTTTTCAGTCCTCTGCTGTAATCGTACCTGTGTCCCTGAACTCTCGTACCTGTGTCCCTGAACTCTCGTACCTGTGTCCCTGAACTCTCGTACCTGTGTCCCTGAACTCTCGTACCTGTGTCCCTGAACCCTCGTACCTGTGTCCCTGAACCCTCGTACCTGTGTCCCTGAACTCTCGTACCTGTGGTCCTGAACTCTCGTACCTGTGTCCCTGAACTCTCGTACCTGTGTCCCTGAACTCTCGTACCTGTGTCCCTGAACTCTCGTACCTGTGTCCCTGAACCCTCGTACCTGTGTCCCTGAACCCTCGTACCTGTGTCCCTGAACTCTCGTACCTGTGGTCCTGAACTCTCGTACCTGTGGTCCTGAACTCTCGTACCTGTGGTCCTGAACTCTCGTACCTGTGGTCCTGAACTCTCGTACCTGTGGTCCTGAACTCTCGTACCTGTGGTCCTGAACCCTCGTACCTGTGGTCCTGAACTCTCGTACCTGTGTCCCTGAACCCTCGTACCTGTGGTCCTGAACTCTCGTACCTGTGTCCCTGAACCCTCGTACCTGTGGTCCTGAACTCTTGTACCTGTGTCCCTGAACTCTCGTACCTGTGTCCCTGAACCCTCGTACCTGTGGTCCTGAACTCTCGTACCTGTGTCCCTGAACCCTCGTACCTGTGGTCCTGAACTCTCGTACCTGTGTCCCTGAACCCTCGTACCTGTGGTCCTGAACTCTTGTACCTGTGTCCCTGAACTCTCGTACCTGTGGTCCTGAACTCTCGTACCTGTGGTCCTGAACTCTCGTACCTGTGTCCCTGAACCCTCGTACCTGTGTCCCTGAACTCTCGTACCTGTGTCCCTGAACCCTCGTACCTGTGGTCCTGAACTCTCGTACCTGTGTCCCTCAACCCTCGTACCTGTGGTCCTGAACCCTCGTACCTGTGTCCCTCAACCCTCGTACCTGTGTCCCTCAACCCTCGTACCTGTGTCCCTCAACCCTTGTACCTGTGGTCCTGAATGCTGGGTACTGGAGCCGTGTTCAGAGACTTGAGGTGCATTAGTTTGATTTGCAGGTTTTCCCACTGGTGCCGCGGGAGTCACTGATCAGACGATGCCAGTGAGACCGAGGCTCCTGCCGGTCCCTCAGTCTCTGCCTCCTCACCTCCTTGTCTCCTCTGTATTTATATATGTACTATATACAGTATGTACTATATACAGTATGTACTATATACAGTATGTACTATATACAGTATGTACTATATACAGTATGTACTATATACAGTATGTACTATATGTACAGTATTTATATATGTACTGTATACAGTATGTACTATATGTACTGTATTTATATATGTACTATATACAGTATGTACGATATGTACTGTATTTATATATGTACTATATACAGTATGTACTATATGTACTGTATTTATATATGTACTATATACAGTATGTACTATATGTACTGTATTTATATATGTACTATATACAGTATGTACTATATACAGTATGTACTATATGTACTGTATTTATATATGTACAGTATTTATATATGTACTGTATACAGTATGTACTATATGTACTGTATTTATATATGTACTATATACAGTATGTACTATATACAGTATGTACTATATGTACTGTATTTATATATGTACTATATACAGTATGTACGATATGTACAGTATTTGTATATATGGTTCCACAGTACCAGAGGTCGGTCGTGAGACTGACTTGAAATTTATGAAAATCTGTTTTGGTAAAAAACCAAGAAGACGGACATTTTAGAAGAGAGACAGTAGCGCCTCCTGGTGAGCAGGTTATTGCAAATCTGCAGCGCCTGTGAGCAGGTTGTTGCAAATCTGCAGCGCCTGTGAGCAGGTTGTTGCAAATCTGCAGCGCCTGTGAGCAGGTTGTTGCAAATCTGCAACGCCTGTGAGCAGGTTGTTGCAAATCTGCAACGCCTGTGAGCAGGTTGTTGCAAATCTGCAACGCCTGTGAGCAGGTTGTTGCAAATCTGCAACGCCTGTGAGCAGGTTGTTGCAAATCTGCAACGCCTGTGAGCAGGTTGTTGCAAATCTGCAACGCCTGTGAGCAGGTTGTTGCAAATCTGCAACGCCTGTGAGCAGGTTGTTGCAAATCTGCAACGCCTGTGAGCAGGTTGTTGCAAATCTGCAACGCCTGTGAGCAGGTTGTTGCAAATCTGCAACGCCTGTGAGCAGGTTGTTGCAAATCTGCAACGCCTGTGAGCAGGTTGTTGCAAATCTGCAACGCCTGTGAGCAGGTTGTTGCAAATCTGCAACGCCTGTGAGCAGGTTGTTGCAAATCTGCAACGCCTGTGAGCAGGTTGTTGCAAATCTGCAACGCCTGTGAGCAGGTTGTTGCAAATCTGCAACGGCTGTGAGCAGGTTGTTGCAAATCTGCAACGCCTGTGAGCAGGTTGTTGCAAATCTGCAACGCCTGTGAGCAGGTTGTTGCAAATCTGCAACGCCTGTGAGCAGGTTGTTGCAAATCTGCAACGCCTGTGAGCAGGTTGTTGCAAATCTGCAACGCCTGTGAGCAGGTTGTTGCAAATCTGCAACGCCTGTGAGCAGGTTGTTGCAAATCTGCAACGCCTGTGAGCAGGTTGTTGCAAATCTGCAACGCCTGTGAGC